CAGAGGTTCCAACTGCCCTCTGGTGCAAACCCTGGCACTGTCCTCCAACTGCTGTGAGAAGCAGCCAGAAAGGGGAAATGTCCCAAGCCTCTGCAGCCGCTTGCTAAGAAAAGCTTTACTCAAGCCGTGCTCGAGCTTGCCCGGGCCTGTGCTCAACAAGGATTTTCTGTTTGGAGGCACTATGACTACTTCTACTTTCTGTATCTAATCAATTTCTAATAAAGCTTTAAATGTCAGTGGAAATCTACTAATTTGGGGGAAGACCAACTAAACCACAACAGAATAAAAGGGGACACACTGATTCCCTGGTATATAATTACTTAAACTACAGATTTGGCTCCTCTACAATTATTCATTAACATTAATGGGGATGGAAGCGTTTGCCAGCATTTTCCAGCGTGGTAATGCCCAATTTCACCCCTGCAAAACCCATCCAAGAATTCTTGGCATGTTGATACCCTCTGAATGACTCAGCCTCCCATAGGAAAAGGAAGTAGATGAGGGAATTTTAGGAAGGAAGGGGGTTGAAACCATATACAGAGCTAAGAACAGTTAACTGCATACAGAAAAAGCAGGAAATACAAGGGTTTGGGCAGAGAAGGAAAATAGGAATACATACAAATAGGAAGGAAAATTCAAGGACTGATATGCATGGAAGGGAACATGGGAGAAAAGGATGTGGAGGGACTCTGAAATGAGGAGAGGAGAAAAGAAAACGGGATGTTTCACAGGAAAGGGAAACTATATATGTCCTGGTATAGAGCATGCAGGAGCATGAAAGAATCTTGTACACGGAGGAGGGAGCAGACACAAGGACAACTTGGAATGAGACACAGAGACAGCAATGCCACAAGGAAGAAGAAACTGGTGATCCCAACTCATTCAGTATCAAGAAACTTCATAGTCTAAAATAAATTTTAAAAGACACTTAAGGCTCGAACACTTGTTTTTACAAATTACGAAATTAAGGGCTTGAATTTGCACATAGAAGATCTATATTCTCACCTCCCAGTGGCAAAACACAAAATAAAGCTGCTATAAAAGCACACCAAAAGCAATTGTTTGGAATGACACTACCCTCTGGTGGTCAAGAAATACAGTTATATATTTGCAGCTGGTCATACAGATAACTACAGCTTGTTTGACTTTATTCCTGTCATTGGCACCAACTATACTAAAAAAAAAAAAAAAGCAATCAATTCCAATCCACACTTCAGTAATCCACATCAAGACTGTGCTCTTAAACATCTTCCTTATTAGTCTGTTTTAAAATGACAAATTCATGACTAGTCACACACACAAATAACTGTCCAAGGCTCAGAAAGAGACTGGCAATAATTTTTATGTTCTTTGTCAACCTGCAATAATAGGAACAACACATATGGCTGTGCTTAGCTGTGTAAGTAAAAGAATACTAAATTCTCAAACAAAACATAAAGCTGTTACCAGCATTTTTCTGCTTTATCTCCTTGGAAAATAACCTCATGTGAGATTTGCTTTTAGCGTGTGCAAGAGAGCTCCTAGACCAACACACTCCAGTCCCTACATGTCATCTTAATACAAGAATTTAATAAAAAACACAGTATCGCTGGTAGGAAAGAAAAATGGAAAATAATTTTTCCAAGTTAGTGCTGGCCACATCCATAATTGTGTACATGGTCACCAGTGAATTCAAAACTGAATGCATAAAGCTATGCTCAGAGAAATAAACAAACAAACAAATAAAACGGAGGAGTCTCTCTCTATATATATTAAAAGCCAGTTTTCTTATTCTGATCCTTACTTCTAACAGGACATTGCTTAATTTCGTCCAAAATCTTAAATACATAAAGGACATAACTGAATTTTTTTCTTCTGTATTACAGCTACAGAACACTTCTGCTGAGAAAAGCAATTGCTTCAGTGCATGGTTTTCGTGGAGATGCATTGGGAATTTTGTAATGACTTAACACAGTCATGTCGGCTGCCCTGCCTCACTCACAATTCTTGACATGTAATCTTCTACAAACAATAAAAAAATATTAACCACTCTGTCATTTTTTCCTTTCCTCTCTTTACATTATCACTGTTCAACTCCTGGATTTTCCCCTCTTCTTTTAAAATATCCCTATTTCTCGAAGCCAAATGTTTCTTTGGGAAACTGAGACTTCCAAATATTCTTCTATCCTCAAACTTCTTAGGCCCAGCTGTCTCAATTGTCCTTCTGGAAATGAGGAAGATCTTGTCACATTACTCCCTCCTAGAGAACAATTCCGTGTTTTTCAACTTTGATCTTTATGGCAGGCTGACCTTCAACTTAAAGTAAGGGTTTGCTTTTGTTGCTTGGAAGCAATATATCTGTGTATTGCCTCCTTACAAGAAATGCACTGTATTGATTGATACACGGACCTTGACTGGGCAAAAGTCATTCCTGTGAGGACTGATAAGCTGTCATTGATGCCACCTTGTGGCAAAACTACTGGATACTGGAATTCTGGAAAAATAGTCAGCATTTGCCCCTCCTTGCAGGTGCCCCTGCGATTCAGTTTTAGAGTTCATAAAATCAGGGTTTGGGCACTCCTGAAAACACATCACCAGTCAGTGACTAAGAGGATGAAAAGCAGGAAAAGAATACCAGAAAACACATTTATTTTATTAGAGTGAAAACTAAGCTGGTACATTCAGGGACACATGGCACAATCATTCACGTGCTCAGAGCCTGGGCACTTATTTCTCTCTCCCCACAAGAAAAACTTTCTGGAGAGAGGTACAACCTGTTCCAAACGCTGCAAAATAGCACTGCAGGGAGAGACTGAAGGAAAACTTGGCCCCAGCCTAATGGGACAGGAAGCATTTCCCAATTACCTCATACTGGACTCACTCTTCTCAGTCACCAGGCTCAAAGAATTATCTTCTAGGAGGCTATACCTATTTTTCCAGGACTGTCCCGAGGCCATTTGGGACCTGCTATGAAAGCCAGCGTTAGCACATGCTGCAGGATGAGGGCGATGCCTATTTTTAGCATCACTTCCACTGGAGAAGCCCAAGAATCACCACCTGCCTCTTCTGGGCTTTTCTGCCTTCTCCCAGCAAGCGAGTGGGAAGAAGAGACTGAAGCAACCTGTACACCTGCTTTTTGCACTGCCAGATTCCCAAGAACACAGGAAAGAAACCCCTCATGTTGCAAAATGTGGAAAACATAAATATTTTCTTGAGAAAGGGTGTTCTTTGATGTCTGATCTTTGTATACTTTTAAGCCTAATCAACAATGAGGGAGATTTAATGCATGAAACAGAGCAACTAACGAGCAAGCTCTAAGTGATGTCCAGGTGTTGGAAAGACAAATTACTTGTGGGTAGAATTACCTTGTTAAGGGTTTAGGGCTCCACATATTTCAGTGACCTCAGACCTAGGGGGAGGTTAACAAAGCTTGGGGAGAAGGATGTACCACTGATAGTGGACACAAAGAACACAGAATTTACAGGCCACAAGGACATTTGGCAGAACTCCCAAGATAAAGAAGAAACTAATAAAGACAACTCAGCAATTGTGCTGAATCAGCTCCGACAGAGTAAAAAGTAATTCCTGCAGAGGAAGATCATGATTACCAACTCACGGGGCATCAACCCAAGAAACCAATTGACACAAGAGAAAGACTAAGCATGAGGACTAATTAGCATGAGATGTGAGAGAATCATTAACCAATAGAAGCTAGGCTACTAATTAATAAGAGAACTATGTAACCTGTAGCCAATGAACAAGTCTTAGGAGTGGCTGAAGAAGCTGGAGGTGTTTAGCCTGGAGAAAAGGAGGCTTGGGGGGGGGGGGGATGATGACGACTTATCGCTCCCTACAACTACCTGAAAGAGGTTGTAGCTAGGTGGGGGTTGGTCTCTTCTCCCAGATAACAAGTGACAGGACAAAAGGATATAGTCTTAAGCTGTGCCAGGGGAGGTTTAGGTGGGGCATTAGGATCACAGAATCAGCTAGGTTTGAAAACACCTCTGAGGTCATCAAGTTCAACCTATGACCTAACACCACCTTGTCAACTCAGTGCCACATTTCTTAAACACCTCTGGGGACAGTGACTCTACCACTTCCCTGGGCAGCCCAATTGGGCAGTTCCAATGCCCAGTCCCTTTCTGTGAAGAACTTCTTCCTAATGTCCCACCTAAACCTCCCTTGGCACAGCTTAAGACTGTGTCCTCTCGTCCTACTGCTGGTTGCCTGGGACAGGAGACCGATACCACCCGGCTACATCCTCCTTTCAGGTAGTTGTAGAGAGTGATGAGGTCTCCCCTGAGCCTCCTCTTCTCCAGGCTAAACAGCACCAGCTCCCTCAGCCTCTCCTCATAGGACTTGTGCTCGAGTCCCTTCACCAGCCTTGTTGCTAATGACCCTGAAAAGGTAATTAGACATTGGAACAGGTTGCCCAGGGAGGTGGTGGAGTCACCGTCGCCGGAGGTGTTTAAGGAAAGACTGGACGTGGCACTCACTCGGTGTCATGGTCTAGTTCACATGGTGGTGTTTGGTCACAGGTCGGACCCGATGATCTCAGAGGTATTTTCTAACTTAATCGATTCAGTGGTTCTGTAACGCCTCCGTTTGCTAAAACGTATAAAAACTAAAAATAAAAGTTTTGATAGCTGGCGTGCTTGTTTGTGGAACACCACCGAGCACCCGGGCTTGCGCAACTCTGAAATAATCAATGTGTCTCTCTCTAGAGCGTGTAATTATTGGCTCGCCGCGCAGCTTGTCGCGGGGTAAGGTTGTTTTTTTTTTTTTGCGGGCAGCCCGGGCTGGGGCCCGCAGCGCCGCCGGTGACACCTCGTGTTTCCCACCCGCGGCGCTGCCCCTCACGCCGCCCTCCCCTCAGCGCTCCTGCCCCACGCCCGCCCGCCCGCATGCGCGGTGCTGCCGCAGCGCCCGCCGGAGGGGGCGGCGCGCCCGGAGCCCGCGGCCGGCGCGGAGCTGGGGCTCGGTCGGCGCTGGGGCTGGATCGGCGCTCGCAGCCGCCGGAGGCACCGCAGCGCAGAGCCCGCCGCCGGAGTGCCTCGCCTCCCGTCCCCCCCGCGGGCGGCAGCGGCGGCCCGCCCTCCCCAGCGGCAGGCTGAAGGCGAGAGGGGTGCTCCGTCCGTCCCGCGGCGGGGGGCTGAGGGGAGGCTGAGCCCCCTCCCCGCCCCGCGCTCTTACACCCCAGGGACAGACCTTTCTTCTCCTAACCCCTGCCCTGGCAGGAAGCGGGATCCCCGTGCCCTCACCCCTGCCCTTTGCTCCGCCAAGCCGAGGGTGAGTCAGGCGCCTCGCAGGTGGGGACAGAAGCTGGCTCCTGCCTCGGAGGGCAAGGGTGGGCATTTTCCCTCCCTCTCCTGCTTGCTTTCTCCCCGCAGGTGGTGGGGCTGGACCTTCTGCGAGCCCTTGGGCCTGTGAAGCTCCGGGCATGGCTGTCGGTGGGCTCGGGAGCTCCCTGCTGCTGATGTCCGGCGTGGTGGTGGCCGTGGGGCTGTGCAGGAGGCTGACTCGCCGCCGGCTGCGCTCCCACCCGCGCCTCTTCGCTTTCCTCGTGGAGATGTTGAGCACCTTCCAGATCTGCGCCTGCACGAACGAGCTCAGCCTGCTCGGCAATGTGGAGCCGAAGCCGCACACCGCCCTCACCCTCACCTACGGCTTCACCGTCCTGCACGGCCTGACCCTGGCCGGCAGCACCTGCAATCCCTGCGGGACCGTGCAGCCCATGTGGGGCGGCGGGACATCCCTCAGGATGGGGGGACTCAAGATCGCCGCTCAGTTCGTGGCTGCAGTGATTGCTAGGGTGTTCATGCACTTTATCTGGAGTCTGGAGATGGCAGAGCCACATTTTGGAGCGCTCTCCCAAGGCTGCAGCAGCCCCATGCAGACTACAGAGATGCAGGCGTTCTGCATAGAACTGCTCTTTTCTGTCGTTTTCCAGCTGGCAGTCCTGCGAGCGGAAAGTGTTAATCCCAAGTACAGAGTCCATTTGATTGCTCTTCTCATCACCATGCTCGTGTATGCAGGTTAGTATTTTCTTTTTTTTTTTTTTTTTCCCCTCTCCTCTCTTCCTTTAATCAAGTTGTAAGGGAAGGGGTTTTTATTATTTTCTTAGTAGTTAAGATGCAAAATTCTTTCTCGTACTGATGCCTCAGAGCTTTTTGATTTTTAAAAGCTTTACAAAGATTACAAAAAAAAAATATGATCCAGGAAAGTTTATTGTCCTGCGTATGCAGAGTTCATTTAAAGTTTATATAAAGTTTACCTGGTTGCATTCCAGACAGGTGTGGGGTTAAGAATGAAATGAGTTATGAATTTAAAAACGTGTCAAATACACAAGTAAATATGGTTAAATATTAAGATATCTCACTGAAGGACTGTTTCATAATCCGACTATTTATACAGCGTGAGAGATCTCATACTATGTGCTCTGATTTCTAAGTGGCATTGCGAGAGAGCACCGCTGTTTGCATCAGGAAAAAGTGCTGATGGTGCAACAGCAGGGTACAAACCGGCAATAGGGAAGCTCTGTATTTAAATAATGCATAATTCATATCAGTGCAGTTTATTTAACTACTTCCTTAAATCAGAAATGGAACTGGTTATTTGTAGACTGCATACAGAAATGATAAAGTAATACCTCCTGAAACCAAATGTAAAGAAAGGAAAAAAGCAGGTGTTGTATTAGAGCCTCCTGTGTCTGTAATGCCCTGTGTGTCCATATCCTTGCCTCTGCCGGATTGTCACCTCATGCCTCCCAGAGCTGGGACACACTCACCTGCGCATCCTCTCCGGAGCAGTGGGAGGGAAGAAGTGAGGGGAAGCAGTCTGAACTTCTGACTGTTGATGCTCCCTTTTGTCCCTAGTGAAGTGCCGGGAGTTGTTAGGTCACTTGAGTCCTTCTACTGGCAAGGAGATCCCATAGTTTGGAGAGGTGACAGAGAGAGGGTTACGGAACTCCTAGATTGTGCTACTGCCCCCACCACACAAGAAGTTATCTAGGGAATTATCAAATCCTTTTTTGAGAGAGGGAGATCTCTTATCTGCAAACATCCGTGGTGACACTGACATCGTGTCCAAAAGGTTTACCTGTATTATGTTATTTAACATAATAGCATCTGGAACAACATACAGTCAAATTTTCAGATGTAGTAATGAAAAAACCTTTAATCATTACTTTTAGCTGAAATTAGCTAATGCGTAAAAGGTAAAAGAAGTCCATGGGGATTTTGAGAACTAAGTTAACAATTTGAACTACTTTCCCAAATTAACTTTTGAAGACAGAAACAAGGTGTCAGTGCATTTGAGGACATTAAATGTATTTCTGAATTGCTCAGTGAAAGTGTAGCCAAATATTATTCTCTCTCTTCTACAAGCACAAAAATCTGGATTCCTGATTCTTAACATTCTTTTCCTGCTTAGAAAATACTCATATAAAATAATACGTGTCCCATTGCCTTTCTCTTCCCTAGTTCAAACATAGAATTCGTTCCCAGTGTTGTTGGCCAGGCTTTTCTCTTTTTCCAGCAGGAGAAGGCTGTGTACCACGTCCCCTTCCATGTCATAAAGTTGGACTTGTTAAACTATCCAGTGCAATTGATCTGCATGTTCTTCTAGGAAGACCTGCTGCACCCAGGCCTCTTTCACTTGCACCTTCTTTCTGTACCCTGTGCTACCTGGACATTTTTCTTTGCATTTCTTTTAATCTGGAATCCAGTCTACTATAAAAATACAGAGAATAGATCCTGAACCTAGTTTTATGCCATATGTAGTGGAAAAACTAATTCTTTCTTGTTTGCTCTGCTCCAAGCTTCCTAAGGTTTGCACTATTTGCTGTACGCTCAGCTTCAAAAGGAAAGGTGGGAAGTGTTATCCTCCTCCTGCAGCAGGCGTAAGCCTGGTGTTTACTATCCACTCCTAAGACGTGGATTGGAGCTTTTTGAAGCAGAGGAAGGCATAAACCCCGATTCCTATCACCGAGCTATTACACAACAAGTGTGGGTGCAGGCTGCTGCTATTAATTTCTTACTGTGATGAAGTCAGTCTTGCACTGTAACAGATTTATTTTTCCAGTGGAAGGTTAACTCCTCCATTTTGAGGGCTGCTGATTGGAACCCCTTTCTCAGAGCATCCTGACAGCATGGCAAGTAACTGAGGCAATGGCAAACAGCCTAGTAGGCAGCCATGGACAATGTCTGGGGCATAAATCCTTTAAATCCTCTGGTTCTCGTGGCGTAGAGGTCTGTTCCACCTCAGTGTTTCTTACATGCAGTAAGAAACTGCAGTAAGTCACATGCAGTGACTTACAAATCAGGTGTCACAGATAGAGGCCTCCAGCAGGCCAAGTTCTCATTTACAGCCTGTGAAGGCAGACAGATGCATAACTTAGTTGGGCTGGATAATTCTCATAAGTCTCAGGAAATCTTCTACACCTCTTTGTTTACTGCTTATATATTTATATATATTTATATTTATATATATATTTAAGGACTTTGAGTGCCTCTTTAAGAGGAATGTATCTTTCTTGCACATCCAGCACAGAAAGGGCCAGGCAAGCAGCACAAATTTAGGCAAAGCAATGCTAATTTAGGCAAACTGGTAACGCTCTTCCTTTTTTCTACAAAACTATCAAATAGAATATTGAATGAATAATGATTTTTTTAAACTTTAATTTGGCAGATACAGGGTTCTAGCTAGGAACACTCATGCATTAATTTATAAAATAAAATTCATGATAATGATTTCTTTTTATACTGTGATTGTAAAAACAAAGTCCTTTGTGCCTTCAAGACCTCTGTCTGTTACAGTTATGAATGAGCCAGAAACATTAGGAAAAAACATCTTATACATAGTATAGTGTATTTCAATCCATGAATTATGCCCCATCCTGTAAGGGGAACAATTGCTGTAAGGGACTATAAAAAGGAATAGCTCTTATTCCAATGTGGTTTGGGTAAAATTTTGGAGGATAGCCACATCCCTGTGGCTTACACCCTTCTAAATGTATTCATGCAGAGACAAGGCTCAAAAACATTAAATTGTATTTTTATGGTTGAATAAATGGAGCTATTGGAAAAAAAAAACAATTTCGGTAGGTCAGTGTTGTGTGTACCGATACAAGGTACTTAGGTATGCCATGCAGCTCGCTCCAACAAATATCAAGTTATTTAGTATTATCAAATGCTGTTTCTTTAGTTTTTCTTATACTTTTTCACAGTTAAGAATATTTGGATTTTTTTTTAATTTTTACATTTAGTCAACAGAGCAAATTTTTGTTGTAGTACATACTGTACACAAAAGCTCCAATACTTCTTATTCTCTTTCTTCTACTAAACAGATGAAAAAAAAAGAGTATTACGTCTACATATAAAGGGAATTCAGTAGCTAAGGAAGCAGACCCTATACGAGATGGTAAAGAATATTTTTTGATATTTCCTTTGGGAAAGTATTTAATTAGGGGAAGAAAAAGAACAATCCACCTTTTGAGGGATTCTTCATTTGCAGGCATTATTACAGTTAAGTCGAAATTATATGAAATTGGTTAGATTTTTCTGAGCCTAAAATATCAAGGTAAAAATTACATACTTATTTTTAATTCAGAGTTTCTTTCTGACTTTGGTTTTGCCTTTAGTAAAGGCAAAAAGGTAACATTACTTTCTCACACATTGTGCGGAGCACACGCTACTTCCCCTCTAAAGTTTTTATATGTACCACATCAAAAGGTGCTTAATAAATAATTTTAAATAAGATTAGAATAATGCCCCTGGTCTATGGTTGATATTCCAATAGTTCTTAGTAATGCATATTGAAGAAATACAGCAGTTAAAACTCTTTAGATAATGTTCAGTGTTCAGCAACCACATCCTGAGAGTGAAATTCTACTTTCAACTGTGTGTTTGTTGATATAAAAGCAGAAGCAGTTAATTCCTAAATAGATTAAAGCAAAGTAAATGATTGTAGCTGCGCTTCCTGGCAGCCGCGGACGTTGCTAATGTGTCACTGTGCAGAGTAACAGACCGCACAGTAAACCTGAGTTGCTCTTGAGAACAAGTGCAAACCCACAGTCAGCTGAGTAGGTAAAAGAACTTTCCTGAACTGTAATGACAGTAAAAGAAATAATAAAGAGAATATAGAAAGAGAAAACAGAAGAAGACAATGACAAAGACTGTACTAAAATTTTGGGTAAATGATTGCATGCTCATGGCAAACAAGGACTTTATCGGCATGGTATTTGTACAAAGGGTAAGTTCAAAGCTCACACTAGCTTATTTGGGGAAAAATCAAGAATAACCTTTAAGGAAATAAACAGACACAATTATATTTTACGTGAATAGATTGATAGATAAAAGAGATATGGGGTGGTTAGTAACTAATAGTGCAGAAATACAGATAATTTTGCTGTGAGTAATGCTATTTCTGCAGGATTGGAATGAGAAGAACAACATACATCAGAATTAAACACATTTAGCTCCAGGTTCTTCTGCAGTGTAATTATAGTTTAGTCCCCACAGTGTAATGTGTTTGGATCTAGTTATTTAGAATATGTTTAGACAAATTCATTTACATCTGGAATCAGAGGCAAGGAAAGATGCTTGGCTTCATTTTGCAAGACATGGGGTGGCATTTGCTTTTATTTTCTTCAGACAGCATAGAGAATGATTGTGAAGGCTTTTCCCACAGTTATTATACCATATGGTAATGTTCTATACATTGGTGATATTAGTGTTCTTATAATAAAGTGTAGAGGTCACCTTACCAAAAGCAGTCTTGACAAATTTTTTTTTTCTAATATCTTGCATGTGTTTCATGTGACATGGAGATGCAGTGAAGGCTCAGTACTTCTTTACTAATATTTGTGTGATTTCTGCCTCTTCTAAAAGATCGCTAGTAACACAGCTTTTAGTTTTATCAGTAGAAACATTCAGTATTAGCCAAGCCTATCTCTTTAAAGCATATTTGCTAGAAAGAGATAAAGGAAGTTACAGCCTGCCCTTCAGATGTTTTAGAGCCTATTAAGAAACGGTTAAACTGTTAACCATGTCATCAGGCAAATAAACTCTTCTGAAGTTATCTGTTCAAATGGTTTCTGCTAATTAATTTTATTGCTGGGTGCACATTTCTTGTAATATCGTATGTGCATTTCAATATTAATTTAGTAAGAAAGATGGTCTGATTTCATGTTATTTACATTACTTACATCTTATTGCAGGTGGAAATCTCACAGGAGCAATATTTAACCCAGCATTGGCGTTTTCATTACATGCAGATTGTTTCTATGACAAATTTTTGAGTTACTCACTAGTATACTGGATAGCACCAGCCTTAGGTAAGTGCTTAATACTTGATGTGTTTGAGAAAATGTTATTTAGTACATGGTTCAAAAATCAGGAAATAGGTATTCTTTATTTGATAGTGTGCTCGTTTTCTGCTTTAAATAAAATCCAGAAAGTAGTAAATCGTAATGTCTGTGTAAAAGTCATTCAGAATCATGGTTTCATTTTGCAAATGCAGGCTGTGTATTTTTACTCTTGTTCAGTGTTCCACGTAGAGTGCCTGTGACTGTTCCGTGAATCACAGAATGGCTTGGGCTGAGAGGGATCTTCAAAGAGCATCTAGTCTGACCCCACTGCAATGGGCAGGGGCATCTTCAATTAGAGCAGGTTGCTCAGAGCCCCATCTGACCTGGCCTTGAATGTTTCCAGGCATGGGGCATCTACCACCTCTTTGGGCAACCTGTGCCAGTGTTTCACCCCCTCGTTGTTAAAAACTACTTCCTTAAATCTAGTCTAAATCTGCCCAGTTTTACTTTAAACTGTTACCCCTTGTCCCATCAGTCAAGTATCTAATACTGAGTTTTAAACACCGGTTTTGTTCACAAAGTAATATCTACTGTTTTAATCAATTTATTTTAAGAAACAGCCATATTATGCTGTACAATTATTTAGTCCAGATGTCATGTTCAAAATCTAATTACTTTGGGATACTTTGAGCAAGAAAACGTACCTACCAAAGAACCACAACAGCACAATTCCAGATGGAAGAAGTTTGGTGTTTAGGTTAGACTTAACTAGTTAGGTATAAAACAGCAGCTGTTTACTCTGGAGCTACATACATTTGAAACTGCCTATTGATTGGAACTTTATGCCCTGGTATTAAAATCCAGCCTGTCTGAGGTATCACACTGACCAGAGGCCCTCTTGTAGATTCTAGCAGAATACTAAACAGGAGAAGAGGCTTACCTGAAAGTAAATATTAGCCTGATTAGGTTCAAAAAGAGAAACATACTGGTTAGGACATGGTTTCTGTCTTGTTTTGTGACAGTATAAAAGAACATGGGGATGATAAATTAAAAAACACCCACAGATATTAGGACAAGTCTGTAAATATGCTTTCTCAATTACTACTTTTATAATATCAAATCCTTTTTCTCTCCATAGTGTCTAAACTTTGCAGTTCCATTCTGTGTTCCAGTTCCAGTCACTGCTGGAAACAATCTCTTATTAGCTTAAGAATTAGGAATGTTAGCAACTACATTTTTTTCTAAGTTAAATTATGGTTTTAATTTGAAAGCTGTTGATTTTAACTTCTAGTTGTGTGCAGATGAAAATGCTGCATGTGATACTTCATGCTGTTTGTTTACAGTTAGTCCTTACAAATCTTGAGCTTTCTGCTCAGAGGGTATATAAAGAAGCAGTCTGCTAATCCTAAATTCTTTCATGACTGTTAATCCTATTAGAAGGTACAACAGTGATGAAGGCACAACAGGATGTAAAATATACACAGGAAACACAACAAAGGGCTCCCGTTATAACAAAAAAACTTCCTTTTCTTGAGTTCACGTCTGTGCATGTTCTACTTGCCTTGACTCTCAGTCAAAAATGAAGACAGAAGTTTCAGCCTATCTAAGATATAATATTATTTTGTTAAATTAGATCTCCAAACAGGATGACTGAACAGCAGAGGAAGCTTGATAACTGCTCAGTTAGTAGTTAATGAAATGTCTTCGGCAAAGCTGATCAGCGTCACTCAGGTCCTAACAGAACACATAATATTTCTCACCATCCAACTTTAGCTTTCTGTTTTATTAACTGATTTTGATGCGATAACTGTTTATTGAGATTTTATAAGTTTTAAGTACTTGGGATTTAATATTTTGGCAAATGATCTACAGAAATAGGAGGCATTCTGAAACCCCATGTTCTGCTTATTTGCCGTGTCCTGCAGAACAGCTTTGCAGAAAGCCTTCAGATGATTCTGACAGAAAAAAAAAATCAGCTGATACTAACTCAAATGGACCCGTGACTGGAGGAATTTAGAATGTGATTAGGGAGTAATGTTACATTTCTATGAAAATTCATAAACAGGGGTTTGCCTTTAGTTCACATCTAGAAAATACATATGTAGAATATTCATATCTAGAATGTACTGAATTCTGTCTCTTAATTCAAAAAGAAACTCCAGACTGAACGGTTGTAAAGGTGTGGGTACTCGGGGCACATCACTTCTTGTGCTGTGTTGCTACTGTAACCACCATTTACTTACAGATCTCAGGTGGAGGGCGGGGTACTCTACTGGTTGTATAAATACCTCATTACAAAACAAGGATGCTTCACGGATACTTAAGAGACCTTACAAACCAAGAGTTATGAACAACTGTCCTGTCTGAGGTGGAAGGATAGAGGAGATTGCTGCATTTGAAAACTGAATTGGTGAATAGGGGAGTGCAGATCTACAAAGCTAACATGCAGTGATTCTCTGACGCTTTTTGAAAAATAAGAAAAGAATAGGAATAGAGTTTTTTCTTCCACAATTGGACCAAATGATGAGGCATCTGGGAAAATAACCTGTTAAGATGATAAATAAAATTCTTTTGAAAAGAACTTCTAAGCAGAATCATAAAAATAGATGATGAGGGAAGAGATATTTTAAATTTAATTGTAAAAATTACTTTCAGAATCCACATGTCAGCAGAAATACTGTTTCAGGCTTCCTAGAAACTGGCAGAGTTGTAGTGATACGCTAACTTGATGTCTTACTTTACACAGCATCAGCATCTTAGGTGGTTAAATTACTTTGTTCTTCCTTTGGGGAATTCTTTTAGGAGTCTATCAGGTTTTTTTGCGATTTTCTGTAATAACTACGTCATGCAGGACCATGGACTACTATGAAACTTGAAACTGCCAGTGCAAAGTGCAGTATGTTGTCATTTATGGCCATAGCAAAAACCCACAAGGCCAAGGAGATTGGAGAGCGTTCAGTATGTAACTGATACCCTGATCTAGCTGTAAGCAAGTTCTTAACCATCAGCTTCAAAACAATTTTCTTAGAAAGGACACTTGGAACAAGAGGAAGACTGATTGTCACCTTCACAAGAGGAAGATGAAATGGAATTTCGTTTTAGGATAAACAAACCAACCAACTGGTAGTTTATGTTCTTTCAGGAATATAATCTTGGAACTCTAGTTAATTACTTATTTTTCAAAATGGCTTCACCTCACTTTGGTGAGGTGATTCTCCTGCAGCTTTAAGCAGCTAATTCCTGTAATAAGTATGAATGTCAGCAAGTGTTTACGACTTAGCACAGGCAGGCCCTAAGTTCTGCACTGTGAACACAGACACAATAAGTACCAGTGGAACAAAGATAGTTTCTGTTTTACTGCCAAAGGAATTCGCATTAGTTGTCCAGGCATTATTAGTGATGATGGGGACTGAGCTAATGCTGCTCTTTCAGTACCGGGGAAATGGAAGCTATGAAGGGAAGAAGTGGTAACCTAGTCATGAAGTCAGTAAAATGAGATGCTCATTCCTGGACAGCTTAGGTGCTAGCTTAGCATATCACAGAATTGTATTGTAGAATGGTTTGGGTTGAAAGGGACCTTAAAGACCATCTGGTTCCACACCCCCCCTTCCCACCATGGGCACGGACACCTCAAAGCCCCATCCAACCTGGTCTAGCATTCTGCTAGTTTTCTAGCACTATAAAACCAGAATCAAGACCCGCTTCTTTAGATCAGTTTTACTAGAAAGACTATTCCTTAGTTGAGAAAGTTTTTTCCTGACCAGGAGGAAAAAATAAGTGCCGCAAAAAGTACTTAGCAGTAGAGGTAAATGGAGGAGGTAAGCAAGGGGGAAGGCAACAGGTTAGACTTTCACCTTTCTGCTCAGAGGACAGGATATTCAGAGGCCTCCAGCACGTTCAGAACACTGAAGCGTGGAACTTAGCAGAGAAACAAGAATTCCAAGTCTGTGTGCCATAGTAAAGGAGAGTTTCAACAACTAGAATTCTCCTACTACCACACCCTGGTCCTCTTAGGGGGTTTTCAGCTCTGCAGAAATCATCTGACAGAGCAAAACACGTATGCAGTGAGTGAATGCAATCCATGAAGTTCCTAGAAAACTGTCAGTAATTAAATCTAATTCAAACACTAAAGGGCTGGTCAGTGGTAATCCTGTACTTGGCCTGCTTACAAAGGATGGGTGGTGAGTTGAGCCAGTTGGTTTCTTTTAGTCCTTACAAGACCTCAGGGTCCAGGACACTGGGAAGGTAAATAGCAGAGTTGTTCAGACTTCGGACTTCAAACCAAATTCTGCTTGTGTAGGGAACTGCTAAGTCAGTAGGAATTGCCTTGGAAGCTGCCATAAATGACAGAAGTATGCCATGGAAAGGTGATTTTTCAAAAAAGTTCACTGAGAGCTCAGTAATAGATTTAGATTTGCAGGAGAATCTGTCACATAGACTAGGAATTTTGACAGAAAGCCTTTCCCTGCTTGCCAGAGAAAGAGCTTCCCTATGAACGAAGGACAGCACGTAAGGAGTTGAAACAGGGACAGAGAGCAAAGGAGGAGTTTAAGAGCTTTCCACTTAAAATCAGGAAGGTAAGAGCTCAGCTGGAACTGAGACTAGGGACGTGCAAAGTTACAAATATATTAATGAGAAAAAAATTCCAGAGAAAATTCAGGTCCATTGGCAGATGGGGGAGACAACTTAGTGAGGGATGGCATGGAAAAAGCTGAGGTACTGTATGTCTTTTTTTAACCATTGAGTCTTCCCACGAAAAGTTTGCTTCCAAACCTTTGTGTAAATCGGTAAGGTTTTGGAAAGAAGGCAATAAATAGTGAGGGAGTAACAGGGTGGGAACAACATGGATATAAGCTCAGTGATTGTGAATCCATTTACTCTATTGGGATTCACCTAGAAATGCAGGTAGAGTTGGCCAATGTTAGGATTGTTCTTCATTTATGAAACGTTACAACAATTGGACCCATTTAGGCTGCAAAAACAAGATGAAAGCATGTTTTAAGAACAGTCAACTATTATGTCATGAGTAGTTTCAAGGATGCCAGAGATTAACTGTTCTTGTTGGCAACAAGTAACAGCAACGCCCCAAATTGTGGCATGGGAAGTTCAGCCAATATCCAAGGAAACCTTCAGAAGCAACACTGAATATAGTTATCTGGAAAAGTGCTACAGTGCGTGGAGGTTTTAGGGACTCAGCTAGGGAAAGCCTCACTGACCCATCTAGCATAGGCAAAGTCCTGCACCAAGTGGGAGACAGGACTAGAGAATCCCTTCCAATGAGCTTTTTCTGGGGGGGATCTAAGAAGCTTTATAAAATACAAGCTGCACTCTATGAGCAACACTGTCAACCAGGATCCTCTTTGTTTCTGAAAGAGAATATGCTGATTTTTGTCTTTTCCCAGGAGAAAAAAAGTGGTCATACTAAACTGTATTTGGATGATCTTTGGACTCAAGGGCCCTTATGGGCCCCTTCCAACTTGAGACAGTGTACGATTCTCATGAAGAAACTACGGTCTCTAACTTCGCCTTTTTTTCTGCTTCAGAATAAACCCTAAATCAGAATGATCTTCAAAAAAACACCCATTATCCTATAGCCACTTGGCAGCACTTTAAAAAGATCAGCAGCGTGATTTGGCAGCACCAAACCAGACACTGCTAACAAACTCAGCTGAGAAATGGAGGTTAAGCTGCTCGTTCAGTCATTTACACATCCAGTGACAAAGAAAGGAGCCCAGATACAGCACGAGGAAGGTGCATGTGTTGGATTCACCTAGTCAAACTGCTCTGACTTCAGCTCGGCTTATACAGACCGGAGTTAAAACATTAAATATACTAAGAAAAACAGGATTATTAACTCATAAGGACCACTTGGCATGGTTGGTTGAAGCTTTCTTTGTGAGAAAACAAAACAAAAAAGTGTTTGGAGAAAGTGCTGACTGCTTCTAACCCTTTTGACAGAAAATTCAATTTTTCTGTAATCTGTGCTGTATTGTATGTTTGACACTGAAATACTTGAACATAATGTTTATTTTCAATTACCAGTACTCTGTCCTGCTCGAGTACATTTAAATAGAGGTCCTTTCTGTAATTTTTCATTTCAGGTACAATACTTGTGGCTTTTATATGGGATGAAATCTTTCCTCGGATATCCTGAGACATCAAATCCTGAAATCTGGCAGTCCTACATTAAAAAAGTATTTTCAACATCTGCAGACATGAAGCTTTCAAAGAACTGTTGACACAGACTTCCACATCACCTTTCAGTTGCATTTTCAGATTTCATGTTTGAAATATTAATTTATCACTTTGTATTCAAATACTAATTTTGTAAGTGCGTGTTGGGATTCTGGGAATATCCGCCACCATTTTCATAATTTAAGCCATATGAATGTGAAGGACTGTTAAAATACTGCAACTGTGTCACTTTAGCCATAAGTGCCATTTGCTGACCTTTATTACAACAGCATGCAAAACTAATTTTAGAGAAATACCCAGTCCTTTCAAGGTTTGAATTTACTGGATTTCTTCCCAAAAAAAGGCACCTGCAAAAAAGGAGCTGAAGATCTCTTACACTGACATCACCATATTCCTACTTGCCATATATATACCTCTGAGAGGAAGAAAGGCTACACTACTCCCTAGAAGAGTCTCCACAGCTCTATTCTAGAGGCACCCTACACCAAAACTGAAAGTCTGTAGGACCAGCATTGTTTTAGTAAATACCTGAGTGCAGGTAAGTAACCTCTCACTTCCCATTGGGAAGGCTCTGCCGCATCCTGGCTCACTGTAGATTGTTGAATGTTTACCTTGGCTGGAAAAAGCAGTAGTAAAGTACCATAAAATTCTGTAGGGACACAAAATAAAAGGGCATTTTAGGCACCCCCCCCTACTTTGTATCAGAGATTACTGCTGCCTCTTCACATAGACACAGTATATAGGGATGAGTCATGGGGTATTCGATTTGTCCTTGACTTTATGCAGCTCTTACCGATCTTTTTTTTTTAAAAACAAATGAATCTGCAATATAGGAGAATAAATAACAGAGCTAAAAACCACAGGAAAGCTACAGACACAAACTGGCACAAACATGCCCTTTACAGCCTCAGCTGAGGCAAACACCACTGACAGGTACCACCCTTGGAAGCTCTGTTTCTAGCATGAGGTTTCATCATCCAGATGATCCAGAGGCTGCATCATCTGGATGCAGCTTAATTTTTAAATATGCCAAAATCAGTTTTTCACTTTATAGTTACTAGGTTTAAAAGGAGAGATGGTTAACAAGTTCTACAAAGATCTCAGTAGCGTGCCCCCCAACTCAGCATCCAAGTCACCTTACAAACCATGTTCTAAGAGAAAGGGAATCAGGTGGGGTTTTTTTTCACAGTAAAATTATGAACCAAGTATTTAACAGCTACTATTGCCAGCTATCTTTTTTTGCAAGAGTTCGGGAAGTAAATATTTTCATGTAATTTCCAACTTGTTGCAATAAAATCTTTTCTCACTTATATTTTTCAAGGTAGCTTTAAGATTATATTGCAAAATTAAATCAATGGTTTGAATGTGCTTTACATACAAGAGTTCCTAACCATGACCCTGTATTCAGCCATTAAAATAATAATAAAAATAAATTATCCTGCTAATACACTGAAGAGAACTAGACCTAGAGAACTGGGTTATCATTCAGCAGCTCATGGACACTAGTGTGTTGGCCTGCTAAAGGAAATTGTCTCTGGTAAAACTCTTCATGGCAAGGACCACACACAGGCACACTGAGCCTGGTAAGAGGTGACCCTCAGAAAAAATACATACTTTTATACCATGTTCTGCTTCTAAAACAGATACTTTTGGGGGGTTCTAACTTTCCTTTCTTGCTTTACTGCTTTTTATACCTTTTCCCTATTTTTAAAGTGTTCCGTGCCTTACAGATTTTTTCCCCCCTTTTCAGCCTCATTTCTTATGGAAACAAACCTTTCATAATTTACACAATTTGATGTTTCCTCTGAGCCCAAGAAGCCCAAGGGTAAAGGTCTCAAAAATAAACCTCAAAGAGCATAAGAACAGACAGGGAAAAGAGAAAGCAGGGACAAACCTAAAATGGGCAGCCAAAATTTGTTAGATTAGAGGCCCTACTTCCATGTCATTTTAGAAGGCCTGCAAAAGCAAAATCCCTAAGTGAAGAGGTCATAACAGATATGACTTCCCGACATCTGTATTGTTTATTTTGGCATAACATATAGTTTAAAAGAAGTTGGTACAAATCTGGGTGATTAACAAGTAGCTGCTCTATTTATAGCCACTAGAAGTACAATATAAAATTAAAAAACGCTAAGAAATAGACAAGCCTTAAATTGACAAAATCAACACAAAACAAACAAACAAAACCAACAAAACAAAAAGCAGCAGAAACAATGAAAAATAAACCCAAGTTAGGAAGTGAAGAATTTAACTATTTTTGGTAGGACAAACAAAAATGAGTATTTTACATTCAAAGCAATGAATGCTTATGAAGTCCAGGTCACTTACATAGCCTAAGTGCAAAGAAGTTTTATTGAAAATAAAACTCGTCAATTCACGCAGGACATTTCTCAGTGCTACCCTTCAGGGCTCATCCAGGTTTGTTCCCACCTCACCAAAATTATTTTTGCTCCATTGATTGGACTGGAAGACAAGAAGTCTGTTCCTGGAGCTCCGTATTAGTAACAACACAAATTCTCCCTTTGGAGCTTCCTAGTGCTCGGTTGCAGTGAGAGTGCTGAGAGGAGCTGTGTACTGTCCACCTGCCCTGTGGTTAACTGTGCCCAAATGCCAGGGTATGTAACAGTCTGCAGTTTAGTGTGGGAAAGAACAGAAAGACCACGCTGCAACTCAGATTTACACACACACACAGAAAACCCCACCAGTATGTTTTAACAGCGACTGGTGAGTTAGAGTTGAATGAGCCTTTTGCCTGAACTATGGTATTGGTACAGTTTTACCTGTCCCAAAACCTCACCATGCTCAGATTCTCCAAATCCCAGTGCAAAAATCAACACATCACCCAGTACCTTCCTATGTAGCCCTAACAAAAACACGCTCATATTTACATAAATACATAAATACATATGCATATATAGGGGCTAGTACAGACATCCTTCTAGAGTGTCTCATTGTGTAACATGCTAAATACCTCATTTATTCAGCAATGGTTCACAACACTATTAAGACATCCCTAATTTGACTGGCATTCCTAATGAATATTCAACAAAGGGTGGTTGTAATTACCACATACCTTGAAACCAGATCATATCTTAATGTGCTAAGCAGGGCAGGACCACTCAATACAATTCAAAGAGCGTAGGGCCAGTAAAAAAAACTGTTCATACACCAACAGAGCAATACCCCCCAAAAATGAATCACAAATCAACTTCAAATCAAAAGAAAACAGAAGTTTGTTATCAAACTTTCAATACTGGGGAGAAGTGGGAACCACCTGAATTTGCTGATGTTGCCCCATGGCAAAAACACCACCCCAGAGAGAAATGAAACATGAAAAGCTGCAGCAGGATCGAGATCTTGGCAATCTAAGGCCAGGTTCCTAAGTTTGGAATGTGTCAGACTAATTCTATTACAGGCACACTCTGCAAATATTCTACCCTTTTATCCTCACATCTGGGTAAATGATGAAAATGGCTTCACTGGAAGTTTTCTGTTACAGAACAGAGTGCTTAAACTCTAGGGCTGAAGCTGTTTGCTGAAGAAAAGGGCTGAGAACTACAACACAAAGCTGGTTGTGAGATACAAAAATCTTAGTTTATTTACCAATGTTAACATTTAATACAAAGACACAAAACAGTTCTCTTTCTCCGGACATTACAGACTTTACTCCATCTCCTCTATGCCCAAACTCTGCTCTCAAAGAAATGAAAGGGATAGCACTTGAAATGATAAAGCCAGTTACTTGAGGGGCTTTTAATTTAGCTTTGCTTTTAATCCTTGGCCAACCCTATTTCCTTTTCGTCGTCACACTTCTATTTCCATTCTACATCACAGAGTCAATGAACAGGTAAAAAAATATGGAAAATTCCAGGACAATCTAAAATTCTGTTCTACTTACAGTTTTATTTCTGAAGTCCTAGAACTCCTAAAAAGGCTTCTTTAAAAGGCCAGAGAGGTTGCTCAGAGAGTGAACCCATCCCTGGAAGTGTTGCACAGCCAGGCTGGGATGGAGTCCTGAGCAACCTGATCTACTGAATGGCATCCCTGCCCATGGCAGTGGGGGTTGGAACGAGATGATCTTTAACTGGGATGTTCCAACCCAAATCATTCTGTGATACTATGAAATGACCCCGATTAGCCCCATTCAAGTGTTAGATGCAAGAGGTTTAATTGTTTTTGTTTGTTTTGTTTTTTTAAATAACCCCATAGTGGTCACAAATGTCAAACCCTGTTTTAAACAACTCTACAAGCATTTATTGACCTAGATGTCTAAGCTTAGGTCATTAAGAAAAAAAAAGGTTAACTCCCGATAGTCACTGCAATGCCTTCGGTTTTACAGCTTATTCTGGAAGTGCCACAAGAGGAATCTGAAAGACACAAGACACCCAAGTTTACTTAACTGGCATTAAAATAAAAGGATATTAACCTTTATAAAGTAGTAGCTCTCTGTTGTTTGCAGTCAGAGGACAGCACTTTACTGCAAACCCACTAATTTTCAGAAGGGCTGAGCATCTTTGCCTTTGGCAGCGGCTCCAAACGGAGGTCAGCTAAGGACAGCATGTGCTTACAGCCTGCACTAGGGTGCCCTGGCAGACCCCGCTGCACCGCCACACACAGACACATCAGTTGCTTAGGAACAATTACTGCAGCCTCGTGATGCAGCAGACAAAACACTGCTTCTTGCAAGAACAGTGGAAACGTCCCACATCAACCACCAGCAAGTCTTCCTGGAGCTTCAGCAGGAGGCTGTCACATCCCATTTGAGTAACGAGCAGTGACACACAACATGAGCGTCTCACAGGGGCAGAGCTTTAGAGGCCGCTCTCTAAAGGGTCACCAACAAGGTGTTCCTGTAGATCGTTTTGCAGTTCAGGAGGTTAAAAGGGCTGAGCCGTTCCATAAGATCACAGCAGGCTCCCTCTCTGTCCTTATTTTCAGAGTGCAGAGCCAGGGCACCCTCATGCTCAAACTCGTTAGCAGGGTCATTAGCACAGAGCTCCAAGAGTGTGTCCTTGTCACTTTGCACCTTCAGTTATGTATCGCTGCCTTAGATCCTAGATTTCTGTACTTACTTAAATTACATCAACACACTCAGGCTGGTGGTTACTTAAAAGGGCCACTGCATTCGTGGCTCCCGGACTGCCACCTGGGGCAACGTCACTGCAACAGCTGACACTGCACAGGCAGGTCACTGACCTGCTCGGACAGGGATCAGCTCCTCAGCTCTGATCAGCACAAGCAAAAGACAGAAAGAATCCCTCTCCAGTCACCTCTCACAGCATTAACCTCCCACAGCCACGTGCTGCACCATGGAAGGCGTGGAGTAAGCAGCAGGAAGAATTCCATGACAAAAACTGCTTCTTACTGGGTGTATTTTGCGCTTTGCTAGAAGATCAGTCTACAGCACTTCCACCAGCACTTTCAGGCTCCTTAGAGATCTGCTATCAGCCACTAACTCTCCTTAATCTAGCTCAAGATTAAACCAGGTTAATAAATAAAGCACTCAAATCTGAATTTTTCCACAGCGTGATTTTTTTTTTCTTTTAATAAACCACAGACCAGAGTAATCTTGGAGATGGAGTCATCAGAGCCAAACTTTCCATTCACTCTCTAAGAGGCACTTGATCTACAGCTAAAGGCTTTAATTTTAAAGTCTGTCCTTTACCAAACTGGGTAACCATCCAGTGGCAGGACAACCGGTATCTGGACTTTTTTGGAAGAACTCCTCTCTGTTCTGGGAAGTCCTTCCCAGGGTAGAAGTGGGACTGCAGAAAAGTTTGAGCTCTTACGTGATAAATACC